AGAAAAAATATTTTCATTTCTATTTGTTCCACTACTCTTTGGGGAAAATAACTGATTAGATCGTCTCATACAAAGTGATATCATACAGTACGATCATTTAAAAATAATGAATTTTAAACTCTCCCCATTGTTTGTGTGCTCAGTTATTCAATTACAATCACACTCTCTCAGACTCAATAAAATAAAAAATATGGACTTTAATTATAATAAATGCTAAACTGATCTTGATTTGAAGTCTTCAATAATCTGGAGTATGATTTTCCTGAAATAATATTACACACAAGACCAAAAAAATTCTTCCAAAATATGTTAAGAGAAATGATAATCAAATCAATAATATTTGGAATCATAAAAAACGTCCAAGTTGCAATAATACAAACATGCAAAACTAAGTAGAAACTATCTCAACAATCTCTCCCTTTTTGATGATGGCAAAACAATTATTATTATTATTTTTGAATAAAAGCCAGAGCTTACTATATTAAAAAGCAAAATGAAATAGTAACTACAAGCATGATTCGTCCTTCAAAATATTGAAAAATGAAGGAGGAACCTTTTTAAAGTAAACTCATCCCAACTAAATCTAGAGACTAAAGCATAGTTAGCACATAAGTTAGCTAACCTATTGTTATCACGACCAATACAATTGAAAATAACAAAATTAAAATTCGTAAGAAACTCCATACCAACTTCCTTGTACTCTCCTTTTCTCCACGCTCTTTGTATAAAAGAAATGATATTTAAGTTGTCCTCTTCTATGATAATGCCTTTGTAATTGCACATCTAATCCTTGAATTCCTCCTTTAATGAATAAATTGCAAGCATCTCCAACTGTGCTATATCCCAATGTACACATGGCGTTCCATAAGCGTACAAAAATCTCCCTTTGTAGTCTCTAAAAACTGCTGCAATTCCTGCTTTATACAAAGCTAGTAGTGATGCATCAACATTCACTTTTAGCCAACTGGGTGGAGGAGGATGCCAATAATTGAACAGTCTAGAAGACCACTGGACATCCCAATTGCCCAATTTAGAGTGAATAAAATTGTAAGAGACCGAACCTTGGTATATAGCATTAGAAGCTACTAGACTAGGATTATCCTCTACACCTTCATGTAAGAGTTTGTTTCTACTTTTCCATGTAAGGAAAAATGTAGTGCAGTAAAGGTTCACCACCATAGATTTCTTCTTAGAATTAGTATCCATCCAATTAATATAATGTTCAAATTTGTCAAATATGGGAATACCAATACCCTAATTATTAAGATGGAAGATTACCTCTTTGATCTTCAAGCATCAACATGTGATATGTTCCACATCTTCAATAGCATTGCATCCCCTTGGACAGTTGGCATTCTCTAATAATCTTCTATAGCATAGAAAATGAAGAGAAGGGATAGCATTTCTATATGCTTTCCACCAAAAAACTTCAACTCTAGCTTTCAACTTTGCTTTTTTTAATCCATTCCCAATATTGAGAATCACAATTATCTTTGACCGAAGCTTTAAAGGCTAAAGAAGCAATTGACTTTCTAGTATTTTGGTTAATCTGCTCCATTTGATCTTCTTCCCCAACATGAACTAATTTAATTTGCATAATCAAATTAACTATTTCTCTCCCAAATGATTCTATCAACAAATGTTCATTCCAGCAACCATCCCTCATGAATTTATTTACTGAAATAACATCACCCTCAGGAGGAACAACAAAGGTAGGCCCCATATCTATGCTTTTATCCAAAATCCAGTTATCTTTAAATGCATCTACTGATTTCCCATTCCCTAAAGACCATCTCACAATGGGCTTCAGCATTTTATAACCTTCATACAACAATTTATAAGATATCGAACTGCTTCATCATCCATATCCCTTCTCCATCCTTGTTCCATATTTAGAAACCATTAATCTGTATAACAGCGAGTGTTTATCTTGAAAAAATCTCCACGCTAAACGAGCTCTAAATGCATTTGTATAGGAACCATGGAATGAGTTGCATGAAATGTGGGAAGAGCAGACAAAACAGATTTAACCAGAATTATTTTACATGCGAACGAGAGTATTTTGCTTCCCCATTGATTCAATTTCTTCAATGCATTATCTATGATGAAATGAAAGTCATCATATTTAAGTCGTCTCAAAGCTATCTTAAGACAAAGATATTTGAATTCTTTAACAGATTTGAATCCCATAATTCTTTTGATGCTATTCTTCTTCTTCCTCCCCCCATATTTTTCCAAACAACATGGCAGACTCGGACATATTAATTTGTTGACTCGTCCAATCACAGAAATTGAACAAGATTTGCTTCATTCTTTTTACCTCCTTTCTATTGGCATCCGAGAACATAATAACATCGTCTGCATAGAGTAAATGTGAAATCCTAGGTCCCTCCGAGTTGATCTTTATTTTGTTCAAATGCATTTGAGAGAAGTTGTGAGCATAGAATAAAAAGCAAAGGAGACAAGGGACAACCTTGTCGAAAACCACTCCTAGCTTGAATCCAATTTGAATAATTACCATTAATGATTAAAGAAAACTTAGGATCTTCCACACATTCCATGATGAGTTTAGAAATTTTTGGAGGAAAATTAAAGTATACCAATACTTTCTTTAGAGAAGACCAAGCCATGGAATCATAATCTTGTTCCATGTCAACTTTGAAAGCCACAATTCCTTTAGAAGCTTTGGAAAACCTTAATTTATTAAAGATCTCTTGAGCCACCAAAACATGGTCCAATAAGGACCTACCCTTAATGAATATCGCTTGCTCTTTAGAGATTAGTTTTTGAATGACCATAACTAATCTATTCAAAATGACCCTTGCCTCCACCTTGTAAATAGTGTTTCATAGACTTATAGACCTATAATTAGAAGGGAGAATAGGATTACATACCTTTGGGATAAGTACTATCAATGTTTCCTTCCAATCTTTGTTTAGATCTCCGTTGCTAAAGAATTGCTTTATAGCCTTCCAAAAATCAGATTTAATGATTCCCCAATAAGTTTTAATGAACGAATTTGTAACTCCATCCTTATCCGGTGAAGTATTGTCTTCCAGTTGATTCAGCACTCCTTCCACCTCTTCAATTGTAAGGTCTGCTTCCAGAATTTCATGATCCCTTGAGTTCAAGCAATTGTTCACAGCCGGCCAACCTTCAAGTTTGTAGCTCCTATCCTTCCATTTCTTCTGAAAAAACCGCAAGAAAACTTCTTCAAAATTTTCTTGTTCTTCCACCAACAACCCATTCTCATCTTTGATTTTAAAGATTTTATTTGAATTTCTGCTAGAACTTGCATAGGAATGGAAAAACTTTGAATTTTCATCACCTTCTTTTAGCTACTTTACCTTAGCTCTTTGCTTCCACCATGAATTCAATCTAGCCAAAGTTGAGTTCAGCTCATTCACCTTTGTTTTGAGACTCCAATATTCAGATTCTGATAGAGCACCGTGAGTTGATTCTTTGCTTTGGAGTTCCATAATTTCAATCATAAGATCTTCTTCAAGCTTATTTAGATTATTCAACTTAGCTTTACTCCAAAAGAATAATGATTTCAAGGACCTTTTAAACTTCTTATTAAGCACTTAAGAGCAATTTCCTTGATAATTCTTGCTCCACTCCTTCCTTTCCACCGCAAAAGAGGCTTGATATGACGCCCAACAATTTTCAAACTTGATAATACTCTCAGAGATAGGTTTGAAATACTGAAATTGCAATATAATTGGATAATGATCTGAAGCGAACCTAGCCAGATGCCTTACTATCAATCGAAAAGGTGAGCTCAGTGCAGAGGTGATGATAAAACACCTATCCAATCTTTCTAGTATCCTCGCACCACCACTTTTGTTGTTGCACCATGTGTATCTTGGTCCACTTCATGTAAATCATTGTTGAGCAAACACATCTTCATCTCCTTAGGACCTTGGGAGAAAGTGAACCTTCTACCCCCAACTTTATCCTCTTTATCCATTAAACAGTTAAAATCACCACCTATTTCCATAGGTATTTCTCTATTGGAATACTTGTCTAGCATATCCCAAAGATCTCTTCTCTATTGTACTTCTCTACTACCATACACCGTGGCCACCCTCCACAATCCTTTATTAAACATTTTAAGATCTCCAATCACTATCTGAGAAAAAGAGTCTACCACCGAAAACTCTACAAGATTAGAGTTCCAAAGAATTAACAAACCACCAGAAAGCCTTGATGACGGAACATAGAAAAAGTCCCAATCCATGCCTAACATTTCATTGATATCACATCTATCAACTTCTGCTAATTTGGTTTCAACTAAACCCAAGAATAAAATTCCATTATTTTTAACAAATTCTCTAAGATATAGAGAAACACTCTTTTTCCTTGCTCCTCTATAATTCCAAAAAGCTATGAAATGCATTAAAAGAGATTAGGGGGATTACTCCCCGAATTACCTTTCCCTTCTAACTCCAATCTTCTACTTCTAATTGAAGAGTTAATAGGGCCCAATTCCCTTAACTGCTTTGGTATTATTTTCTTATTGGAAATAGCAGCATCAACATTCACTTCACTAACAGATGTCATCTTTTCATCGGTAGCTTTAGCAGATTCTTCTGTATCATCCTCACTTGATTTGTTTACAGTTTCTCTGTTAACATCACTGAATTGAATATCTTCATCAATTGAAACATAATTTTGTTTAAGAACAAACTCTCTTTCCTCCAGATCAACCAGTGCACTAAAACTGTTATAAACAATCACTGGCTTAACAACTTCCTGAGCTCTAATTTCACCCTCTAATAAGACTTTAGAAGTACTTCCTACCAAAATTTCTTCCACTGGATTCAGCTCATCAATTGGTTTTTCCTCTTTATTTCCAGCAATTTTGTTGTCTATCTGTTTCAAAGGCACCCAGTTTTTCATGCTACCCATCCGAGATGCTGGTTTTCTGGCCAAGTTCTTGTTAATTTTTTTCTTTCCTTATCTCACCATCAACCTTGGTCCATAATCTTTTTTATAAATCAATTCATTTCCTCCCAGTTTTTGATTACTTTATCATTTCTACCTGAATTACTAACATTAGAATTAACCTGCTTTGAAGTATTGGACCTGTTTTCCATTCTAGCTAAGGCACATTCATTCTTTCCGTGGCCAATTTTTCCACATTCAAAACATAGATTTGGTAGCCTTTCATATTCAATTCTCTGGAAAAATTTGTCTTCATCATCTTCAACCCAAACTCCAGTAGATAGTTTAGCATCCAAATCTATATGGACACAAACCCTTCCAAATTTTCTTTTGGACCACTGGAACATATTGACGTCAATTAAAAAAGTCTTGCCCACCATAGAAGCAATGCGGCAAATGTTTATCTCATCCCAAAAATGTAGTGTAAGGTTTGGAAATCTAATCCAAATAGGAGCAGATAACCCTTTAAGTGAATTCAGATCAAACTTTTGAGTCCATTTTTCAATCCCCACAATGTTCCCATTAACAAACCAGGGTCCATTGGTTAGCACTGCCTCCATATGTTCAAGCTCAAAGAACGAGCAAAGAATCGATCCCTTCTCGAGCACCATAAGATGGAACTTACCATATTGACTCCACTGTCTCCTTAATTCATAGCTTATTGAAGCAAAAGTAACATCACAACCAAAGATTTTTACCACCAATGACTTCTCAAGTTTTTTTGAATTCTCCATAACTTTTTCCACATTTAACTTGATAGACCTTCCATCTTCAGCTAAGCATTTGCCGAAATCCAAATCAGCCACCCTAATGTTTTTATTCTTTAGCCAAACATTCTGAATAATCACTTGGCTACTTCGAATAGGCATTTCATCAGTAACTTCATCACACCTTCCCAAATCACCAGAATTTCATTCCGTCACCTGCTCCAGATCTGACATCGCATTAACTTCGATTGCCAGGTTCATTTTCCTTACAACATTTTCAACTTCATGTGAATCACCAGCCATCTTAAAATCTGAAACCTCCTTTATACTTTTTTCAGGTGTCAATACAGCTGCACTGTATGTTTTATTTGTTCCAGCCTTTAAGATTGAAGATGGAGAAAGAACCTTATCTCCTTTATCCAACTAGGTCTTTCCTAACATACCAAGATTTTCCAAATTATCCTCCATCATAATTCCCTTACCCTTACTGGCGACCTCTGAAATTTGCTTCTTCATCAGCAGTCCTCCTTCATTAATAGTTAAGGGCTTATTCATTTTCACATTAACCTTCATTCCAGTTCGCAAATTTGCTTTGTCGTCTCCAAACATCAGAGGTGAGGAAGACACGCTCCGAGCTCCACCATTCAAAGGTCGTCCCAAAGAATGTCTATCCTCCAATGGATCGCCGACCGAAGGAGGCCGGCGACCGTCCACCACCATAGACTCCGACAGTAAAGCCTCGAAATCAGGTTTTTTGAAAAAACTGAATTTTGAAATCTTAGACGTTCTCTTTCTAATTTCTCTCTCGTACAAAAACTAAAACAATTATTATTTGCATAGAATTAATAATCATAAATTCTCCTTAACTCCCCCTAAATTAATAAGGATGTGAATATAAGTGAATTTCTTTTAAGTAAAAATCAATTTTTAATTTTTAAGTTTTAAAAACACACAAAGCGAGAAACAAAAAACAAAATAAAAGGAAAAACACTACGAACAAACCCTAAAACACTACAAAGAAAAAAAAAAACAAGATAAAAAACAATCAATTACAAACACAAAACAATCAAATGCAAGCAAACAATATTTCTCCCCATTTTTGACAATAACGAACGAGAAGAAGAAAAACAAAAAGAACAATCCGAGTGAACCCAATGTGACTACAGGGGACATAGAAATTGACCCTGATGCAGGAAACTTGAAGGACTTATGTAAGACTTGAGTTGGACTCAAGCTGAACTAAATTTGAACTAGGCTACAAAATGGACTTGGATATTGGATCTAAACAAATTGCAAAATGACGTGAAGTTTGAATGATCAATAAAGGACTGAATTTTGAATCATAAAATTAATGATCAAACATAAAATGCAAGTGAAATTCCAAATTATTTGATTAAAAACTAACAATCATAAGTGGCTAAAACTTGGAGTTTGAATGATAAGGAGCAAAAACCAGAAGTTGAGTCATGAAGTGTTGGACCTCATCATACATTTTGCAAACAACGCATGGAGCAAGGAGTTCATAATTATAACATGTCTACAAGCAATGAACATTCATAAGAATTTATGATCTAGTCACAAGTGGGGGACATTCCACTGAATGTTGCAGCTCATATGCATAGCGACTTACATACAAGTGTTGATGAAATTCAAGCAATTGAGTGATCTAGAATAATTTTCAAAGGCATGAATACACTAATCCTCTTGCAAGCAACAATAGTGGATGAGTTGTAAATGTGAAGAATTCCTTCGTAGATGTAAAAATGAGAATTGGCATGAATAAGATTTTCTACCTACGAATAAAATACAAATGTCCATGAGTGATAATGGATGATCCACCTGAATGGTGCAGAGAAGAAATGTCTTGCAATCGAGAATGCAAATCAGAGTTTACAATTAAAAATAGAAGAAACACAAATAAATTTGAATGGAAGATCCATTTTAATCTATCCCTCATGCAAATTTAGATCTCACTGCCCAAAAGAATAATCTGATATCTCAATTAGAGAGCATTCAAGGGAGTCTTACAAATCTGGAGACTACACATGCTGCATGAGAAGACCGACACTTAGATCTAGTGAAGTAAAAAGATCTATCCGTTAACAAAGTTTTGAATCTTGAAGGTTTATTGAGTGTTATGCAGAAAGAGCATATATCGCTTATCCAATCAAAGAATACTAACTTGGACACCTTGGAAAATTAGCTTCATCGCTTACAAGAAGATAAGCAACATCAGGGAGGAGGAGTAAGAGTTGAAAAGCATAAATACAAGTCCTTTATCTAATTAAGTGAAATCAATGAAAATAAAGAGAGTGTTATGGTTGGGTCACAGATAGACCATGAAGCATCCCAGTAGTATCTCGATCCATCAAAACCACAATAAATGCAATCTCTTATAAGTCATTCTAGGAAACTCGTTGTACATATAGTATACTATATGCAAAAAAATATGAAAGAACTATAATGAATGCAAAGCATCAACAGTCATAAAGTAGGAGATTCATTAGTGTACTACAATCTACCTATATAAATCATACAAGTAGTGCACGATAGTCTACCTGTATAAAGCAACGAATAGCTCTATTCAAAAGCTGCTATGCAACGCCACCGGATCCATAATGTCCTTGCAATTAGATAAAAGACATTTATAAATATTTCAAAATACCCTTGCACATGCACCGTAGATTTGCATACACATAGGTACACAAAGGGGTAAGTGTAATTATAAACTCGTATGGGCCCTAGCGAGCATGTTATAAGTACACATGTAAAGTCTAGGGATGCTACATGGGTCAATAAGTGAATTCAGGTTTGAATTATATCCTTATATGTGGATCGATAAGAGTCGATAAGGTTCAAACCATCAAATAAATATACGGTTATGGAGACTGGAATATTTATTTTAATACATTCATATTAGGCCTTCAAGGACTATAATCAAGAGAATTCACTAATAAAGGTATAAAGCCTATGAAACTCGATCCTCTGTCAATAACTCGACAGAGTTGACAATGTTTATCTACAAAATACAGACATTTTCAAATTGAAAATAGTCCTATACCCCTATGATGGATCTATTGAATGTGAATCTCAACTAGAGGGGTTAATTTTAAATATTTCAAATGCCACACAAATGTCCATCAAAATCAAAAACTCCACAAAGTTCAAAATCCAAATTCCAAAAAATATTTAAAATTGAAACTCAATCATCAACCACTAAAAGAAAAATCCATCCACCCTACATAACAGTTTGCCGAGATAGATAAATTGAAAAACTACTTCAGCTCACAAAGAGTTAATGCCTAGTCAAAAATATCACTAGGATTCATTCTCAAACAATCTCCTCCTAGTAAGGACGTGGTGTGTGTCCTCTAACTGGAGGTTTTTCTATCAAATGGCATTGCAGGATAAACGGTTATTACTCGGGGCCCTCCAAACCGAGTGATTTTGCCGCCAAATGGAACCACGAAATACCAGTTATGACCATAGCCAATACATTCCTTAGTGGCATCAAATATTTGAGATATGAATTAATAGGATATGATCAATAGGGCACAAAGCTCTTTATTAGCTAAGGTGGATTTAAATTTGTCCCCATAGATGAACATTCACCCCAAGTCTACAAGATACCCTTGAAAGGATCAACCCATGGCTGCCGTCAAGGATTCTTCTATTTGGTTGGGTTGACTACCTCCTCTGACTAAGTAGAACATGGACCACTATGGCCCGGGATTATGGAACCATGGGATCTTGATTAGGTCTATCATCCATTCCCCCACCTTCCTCTTTAAGTGCAAGATGGTGAAATTTTTCAATTTTAAATATCAAATACTTTTAACTTTTCAAATATCTAAGCCCATGCTACTATTATATGCTAGATTCACATATTCTTTACGTATCTAATTAATGACTAGCCTTAATCAAAAGTTCTCTCTCATGATTGGGAGGGGTAATTAACTATAGGGGCTTGCGCCTATAGGAAACCAGAACTTATATCATAAAGTCCTCACAAAAAGAGGGCAAAATCTCTAGGTAGTGTCTTTTCTATAAACCATCTGCTATCAAAAATTTACCCCAGAACTTATTATGTTAAAACTCCACCAACAAGAAAAAAGTAACAGTGGGCGTAGGTCGGGACCAAATTTTCAGAGCCCACAAATATCATCAAAAAAAAGCATACACCAAGGTAAATCCTCTTGCAAATGTATAGTGAGAACATCCTTGACTAAAGCAAAAAGATATGGACTTAAGGCTAATCCTTGATGTAATCCAACAAAAATAGGAAAATACTTGGTCAAACGACCTTGTGTTTGAACACAAGTAATAGCTCATGCATACATATCTTTAATGATTTGAATATAAGCATTATTAACCCCTTTCTTTTCAAGAACTCTTCATATCACTTCTCTTGGAACTTTATCATATGCTTTCTCTAAATCAATAAATATCATATGTAGATCCTCTTTATTCTCTCTATATTTCTACATCATACCTCTCAATAAATAAATGGCTTTCATAATAGACCTACCCGGCATGAATTCAAATTGATTTTGAGAAACATTAGTATCACACCGCAACCTATGCTCCATAACTGCTCCCGTAGTTTTAAAGTATGACACATTAACTAAATTCCTCTATAATTTGCACACTCTTGTGCATAACCTTTATTCTTAAAAATAAGGATTAACACACTCATTCTCCAGTGATCTAACATCTTTTTAGCCTTCAAAATAATATTAAAAAGTTTAGTAAGCCAAGAAATTCTTTTATCTCCTAACCAATTCCACATCTCTATTTGAATATCATCAGGTCCAGCAGCTTTTCCACACTTCATTTTATTCAAAGCCTCTCTAACTTTGGTTTTATTTATATGCCAATAAATTATTTCCATTTAGGGTGGTAAATTCACTAAATTCTATCATATTTTCACATCCTTCATTAAAAATTTTAGCAAAATATCTCATCCACTTTTGTTGAATAACATCTTCTACAAAAAGTACTTTTTGATCTTCATCCTTAATACACTTCAATTAAACTAAGTCCTTACTATTCCTATCTCTTTGTTTGGCTAATTATACATATGTATTTCTCCCTCCTTAGTATCTAATCTATTATATAAATCATTAAAAACTAAGCTCTCTGCATCACAAATAGCTTTCTTA